CTTCATACGCTGTTGGTGGAAATATAAATTGGTACAGCCACTATGAAAAACAGTATAGAGGTTCCTCAAAAACTAAGAATTGATCTACCATAATAAGATCCAGCAATTCTTCTACTTTGTATTTACCCACAAAGACTTGAAAACCCATATCAGAAAAGATATTTGTACACCGATGTTCATAGCAGCATTATTCACAGTGGCCAGGACATGGAAGCAACCAAAGTGTCCTATGATAAATGATTGGCTAAAGAAGCTGTGGTACATATATACAATGAAAAATTATTCAGCAGCCATAAGAGATGAAATATTGCCATTTGCAACAACATGGATGGACCTTGAGATAATCATGCTAAGCAAAATAAGCCAGACTGAAAAATTTGAGAATCACCTGATATCACTTATATGTGGGATATAAACCTAAAAGCAACAAATGAACTGGACAAACAAAGAGACTAATGGACATGGATTATAGATTAGTGGTTATCAGAAGAAGATAGGGAGAGGGGAGAGGGGATATATATATAATGTTGAATTTTACACCTGAAACTTACTGGATTTCCTTAACCAATGTCACCATAAAAATAAAAAATCCAGGTATAAAACAAATGTTAGAGGGATGTGATATACAGCATGAAGAATTTAGTCAGTAATATATTGATAGCATTGTATGTTGTCAGATGATTGCTGGACTTATCATGGTGATCATCTCTTTAGGTATATAAATGTTGAATAACTGGTGTACTCTTAAAACTAATAAAATATTGTATGTTAGTAATATTTTAATAAAAAATAAAAAGTCAAGCACAACGTTTTAAGAATTAGGTCTATATTATTCCCTCGGGCATTAACAACTTGTACCATGAGTGCAGGCTGTCATACTACAGTGAGCTGCTTACTAGAAGTTGTAGGGCATGGTAGCCAGGTAGTTAATATGCCATGGTGTTCTCTTTCTACAAAGCAGCCGCTTTTTTTCTTCATCAAACCTTTCTTGTTTTAATTTTTTGCCTAGATTTCCTAGTTCTGTAAAAATGGTGACCATTTTTCCAGGTAATTTGTTGCTCTTGTGGAAGGAAGAACACTTTTCATGTAAATAACGTATTATTTAATTTACTTTGTTATTCATTTGCTTACTATGTGCTAAACAGTTTTTTAAGTATTAGAAGTAAAGAATAATGAGTGGCAAAAGCTCATGTCGTTTCTACTTTTCCAGCTACCAGCTGAATTAGTTTCCATTTTGTTGATGATCTTTCGTGTAGCATTATTTCTGATTCTGAGTTGGTGTCGAGTTGGAAAAATACTCCAAATGAGTTGTTTTTAATATTGGTATTCTTAATGAAAATGTTCAGCTCCAAGTGCTGTTTCATATGTTAATTTTTTTTTCAATTTGAGTTGACATTCAATATTATTTTATATTAGTTTCAGGTGTATGGTACAGTGGTTAGATATTTATATAATTTATGAAGTGATCCTCCAATTAGCCTAGTACCCACCTGGCATCACACATAGTTATTACAATATTATTGCCTATACTTTACCTTCCATACTTGTGACTATTTTGTAACTACCAATATGTACTTCTTAGTCCCTTCGCATTTTTCTCCCAGCCATGCAACACTCCCCCATCTTTCAATCTCCAGTTTGTTCTATCTATGAGTCTGTTTTCTTTTATTTTGTTCCTTAGAATCCATACATAAGGGAAATCATATGGTATTTGTCATTCTCTGAGGAGATATATCAGAAAAAAACATAACTAAGAGCAATATCAGAGAGTTTACTGCCAATGTTTTCTTCAAAGAGTTTTATGGCTTTGTGTTTAACATTTAAATCTGTAATCTATTTTGTTTTTACTTGTACATGATATAAGAAGGTGATTCAGTTTCACTTTTTGCATGTATCTGTTCAGTTTTTCCAACACCATTTATTGACTAGGCTGTCTGTACCCCATTGTATGTCCTGGGATCTCTATTCCATTGATCTATTTGTTTGTTTTATGCCAGCAACATGCTGTTTTGATTACTATAGCCTAGTAGTATACTTTGATATCAGGTA